ATGGAGTTGAAGATTATTTAAATGGTAATTCTAGTATGATTGCTGATCTAAAAAATGCTCATAGTTTTACATTATATGTTATACTTACTACATTGGTGTGTTAAGAATTCTTCATTTTTCCTTTTTTAATTTAATTTTATATGTGATATTCATTTGATATTTATTAATTACAGGGGGTGTTTAAAAACAAGTACCCAGTCTCGGCAGATCTAACTTTTGAGCAAATTAAAAAACTCGAGTATACAGAACAAAGGGTTATACACTGGTCTTCTACACTTTATTTCGAAATTTATAAGTGTTCCGATGGTCGCGTATTGATACGAGCGTTATTCGATTTTAAACCATTATTGATTCCGGGTTGCGAGAATGAATATTGCGAATGGAACAAATTTAAAAAGACTCTTGGTGATAAGATTGGATGCGATTTTGAAAAGATGTGCGCTTATCCTTGAAGATGATTTTATTTTGAAATATTTTTGTATTTCTCTTTATTCCTTAAATATTTGACATTAATCAAATAAGAATTTCAAAGTTTATGTAAATAAATATTTTCTAAATTTGAAAAAAATGAAAATTTTCATACCTTTTATCAATTGTAACATGAAATAAACAAATTTCTAATATATCTGATATACTTTTATATGAATGATTAAATAAGATATTAATGCTTATGAGGTTCCATGCGATATATGTCATAACTGATTCGATCTGCGTAATCCGCAAACTTAAATAAATTTACATTTCATTCAGTTATAAAAATTCTCGGACTTTATTTTAAAACTTTATAAAGAAAAAAATGATTGCCATATTGTTACACTCGGTTCTTGGTGTAAAGGCAATGGAAAGACGGCATTATTCCTAGAGGACTTGGCTAGAAGATATTTTGGGGCCACGCCGACGGAAGGCAAATTGGCCAAATTGATCTACAAATTTTATATACCAAAAAAAGCTTTCTAAATTTTAAATTATCGTCGTAACAATCTTTACCAATTAAGAACCGCTCATTCAAAATAGCATGAGAAACATCAGTTTAAAATTGTGGTCGGATCATATGATAATAGCGTTTATTTATATCGAATTAAATTAACTATCGTTTAAAGATATTCCATTGCTATTGTGTATTCAAATATCAAATGTTTAATAGAGCACAAGCTCCTTTATCATCCCAAAAACCTAAAACAGACTATATATATATATATTTCAATGATAGAATGGATCTCAACAAACCTAGTCGCATAAAGAAGTTTTGTAAAATTATTTTAGTAAGATTACCCCGGAGATTTTCAGAAAAATGCGTATATTATAGAGTGTTTTCAAGCCAATGCACTCTTCTGAGAGTTTAAGACGGGATCTTTACTAAATTATATGACCACTTGAAACTGAAAACACGTAAAATTCGGATAAAGTCATGTAATTCTTCCGTCCTATGAGCACCGGGTCTGCATAGAATTGCCAAGTCATGCACCATTCGTGCTATAAAACAGATAAAGAATCATTGATAACTTTGGTGTCATAATTAAATGAATTGAAAGTAAGTGCAACGACTTTTGGAATTAGAGTATGAAACCGAATGTAGAGGTTGGAACCGGCCAAAAAATCCTTAACCGGTTATTAACCGATTAATTAAAATCTTAACCGGTTAATTAACCGGTTAAATATAAAAAAAGTTAGATAAAAATTTTATATTTCAAATTTTTTTAATAATTTCAAATGCTTATCAAAATGTAATATTAATATAACAAATTTTTATCAATATATATTTATTTAAAATTATTTTAGAATAATTTACAAACTGTAAATTTATTAAAACTATAGTTTTAATAATACTCTATAACAGTGTTAAACTAAAACAAAATTTTTTAATTTTTATAATTATTTATAAATATAAATAATAAATATATAATAAGTTTATTTCTAAATTATAATTATAATATTAATTCATAATTTATAATAATATTTTATAATAATTTAATAATATTAAAATATTTACCTTATTAGCAAGCAAAGTAAACATATCTATATATTTTAGATTTCTTTTAATAAAAAGAATTTCTTGAAAAAATTTTGAATTTAAAGTTGTACGTTTATTTGTCATAATATTTCCAGCATTTGAAAAAAGTCTTTCACTTGGAACTGATATTGCTAAAATAGATAAATATTTACGTACTATTATTGACAATATAGGATATTTTTGTTTATTATCATTCCACTATATAAAGGAATTAGTATTAGGACTTATTTTTTCTTCATTAAAATAATTATCTACTTCATTTATTTTATTATTATATTGTTGATCTTCACTTTCAAAAAATGTATTAAAGATTGAATCATCAGATAATTTTTATTTATTTATTTGTATTTCAAAGGAATCATCATTTAGGTTTAATTCATATTTTAAATTTTCGTATAAACTTTGTATTTTAATTTTAATTTCTAATTGAATTTCACTATTTAACAAAAAACTAAAATCTTTATATCTTGGATCTAACATTGTTAAAATAAGTGCAATTTTATTAGGTTTTTTCTAATAAAAATTAAGTGATTATATAATTATTTCTAATACTTTTTTAATTATTTATTCAGTTTTAGTAAGATTTGATTGAGATTTTTGTATTTTTTTTGAGTTTTCATTATAGTTAATTTTTTTAGATTTTCTTAAATTATGTTTAGTAGGTCTAATGATAAGTAATTTATTAATTTCATCTATTTCTAAATCTAAACTTATAGTATCTTCAGAAATATAATTATCAGATAAAAAATCTTCCATATTTTCTATAAAAAAAAAAAATACAATTTAGTATATAAATATAATAATAAAAATTAAAATAAATATATTAAATTTACCATTATTATCATTATTATTTTTATTATTATTATCTTCATCTTCCAAATCTTCAAAATTAATTTTAAATTTCTCTTTTAATTTTTTTTTAAAAATTACTTTTAATGCTTTGATAATTGATAATATTGATGATATTGTTGCATAATTAATTCTACTAAAAAATGTTGTTACTTCATCAAATGGTTTAAATATTTTACACAATTTTTCTAAAAGTATTCATTCTTCATCACATATCATAATTTTTTGTAAATGTTGTCTATCAAGTCTATTATTTTGATTTTCTTCAAGATGTAAGGTTGCATTTAAATAAATTATTGATTTTTTTAATTCAAGTAATCATTTTCATAAATTATATTTAGAATTCCAATGAGTTTGTACTTCATTTATATTTTTAAGTATAGTTATTATATTTGTTTCAATTAATTCTTTATTATCAGAATTTTTATTTTTTTTATTATTTTTTTTACTGAGTTTTCTTTGTACTTCTTTAAGTCTTTCTGATTGTTTAGGTGATAAAAAAAACTTAACCAATTTTCTATATCGTTTAACTTGTTCACTAATTTTATTTAAAATATTATTTACAGTTAATTGTAATATATATGCAACACATGGTAATCTTTGAATATTGTGATTATTTTCATTTAAAATATTAACAGCTACTTTCATATTTCCTTCATTATCAGTAATTATACAAATTACTTTTTTTTTAATATTATAATCTTCAATATATTTTTCTAAATAAGTGGCAATAGAATCAGCTGTATATGAATATAAAATTTTTTTAAAACCAATTAAAATATAAGATTTAAAATTTTCATCTAACCAATGTCTTGTAATTCCTATATATCCTGTTTTGCTTTTAGTTGTTCATAAATCAGTTGTAATTGAAATAAATTCACAAGATCTAATAATTAAAGATAATAAATTTTTAACACCAATTTTATATATTTCTGTAATTAAATTTTTAATAGTTTTATCACAAGGAATAACAAATGCTGGATCAAGTTTAAAAAGAAATTTTTTAAATCCATTACTTTTTACAATATTGAATAGTTGAGAATCAGTAATAATAAATTCAAGTAATACTAAATTTAATTTATATTGTTGTGATTTTCCATGAAATATTACTTTATTAAATATTAAACTAATTTTTTGTTGTTTTTTTTCTTCCTAAAAATAATTTAATTAAATTAATATATATTATAAATTATTACAAATAAATTTATATTACCTTATTTACTTCATCATTTTCAGATATATTATGAATTATATTTAAATGATATTTTAAATTTGAAGTAGAACCTGTAAACTTATAAGAAATTTCACATAATTTCTCTTTTTCATGTTTTATTATAGGTACTATACAATATACCTTTTCATCATCCATTTTTTTGAAATATTTCCATACATAACTTTTTTCAATTTTTAACTTCTTAATATGACGAGTAGGTATTGAAATTGAAGATCTTTTAAAAATTAAAGTAGAAGGTGCAAATGATTGTTGGATTGAAGAACCAGATTGAGAGCCTTCAATATCTCTATACTCTAAAAACTCGTCACTCATTTTAAAAAAAAGAAATAAACTAAAAAATATATATAAATATAATTATTACCTCTTAAAATAATAACGATAATAATAATAATAATAAAAAAAAAAAAAATTTATGAAAAAGTGAAAAAAAAGTAGTATGATAAATATTTTTATTTAAAAGTATTAAAATTATATTAATTATCGTTATGCATTAATAAATGTTAAAAAATTTAAAAATTAAAAAGAAAAAGTTCTAATAAATAAACGAAGGATTTACAACTGGAATGATGCCTTTTTTGAATTTTCCAATATGAATTACACCTTTTTTAACTTTTCTGATGCATTTTTTACAAAATTTTAATTTAAATTTGAATGGTCAATGAATATTAATTTGTTAATGATTTTTAATGCGCGCAAATGAAAAACCAATTAAAAGATAGCCATTAGCCCAATTTCTGCAGAGGAATGTGATTTGCATATGCATGCATTTTTTAATTTGGATGATCAATAATAAATTAACCAGTTAAATTAACCATTTTAATTAGTTATTAAAATATCTTAATTAGTTAACTGTTTAACCGGTTAATTAACCGGTTAACCTTAACCAGTTTCAACCTCTATCTTTATTAAAATCTGCTCTAATATTTAAAAAACTATTTAATTCTACAAATTAGCAAAATTATCTTTTTCTTATATTTTAAATTTTTTATATATAAAGTTTTTTTCAGTTCTTCAATTTGAAAATTTATAGTTATTGCTTACTATATATCCTTCACAAACTTTACAAATACTATAAATAACATATTTGTTCTTTTTGGATTTACATTTTAAAGGTATAATATTAGTATTTATTATACTTTGTAAGTCTATTATTATATTTTTTAAGAAAATATATAATAAATATGTAAAAAATGCGCTAAAAAAAAGGTTTAATTATATTGCATATATTGTATATTGTCAATCTGAATATTAATACTAATTCAATTTTTAAAGAATTAGATTTTATTACTAAAAATAATAATTTGTATTAAACAAAAAAATTTAAAATTTTAAACTGAAAAATTACGAAGTGATTGCACAATTTTGCAATCAGTTGTAAAACAATATAATAATCTAATAAATAAATATGAAATTTATATTATATATAAGTTTATTTATTTAAACTTATTTTAAATTGATAAATGTTAAACTTTTAATTTGTTAATTTTTATTATAGTTTTAATATAATTTTATTACTTTATAAATTTTATTTTTTTTTTATGAAATTGCAAATTTATTTTAAATATAATTTTATTAGTTTTACTTTTATTATTTAAATAATTTATTAGAATTCTGTTTAATTTTAATATTAAGAATTAAAAAAGAACTAATATAATATATATCATCTAAATAATGATTGATTATTTTTTATAGATTATATATAAAGTTTTAATAAAATTTATATTTATTATATAAATAATAATTATTTTTATATATATTTCTTTATAGTTACATCCCTCAGGATCAAAAATAAAAAGTATAATTATAATAAAATGTGATTATATAGGGAGATTTTATATATTATTACTAAGTATTAGTTCTGAAAGAATATGATTATAAAATGCTACGATTATAAAAAATTTTTTATATAATATAATAGATATAAAACATATATTTGTAATAAGGTATATATGATGTGATTGTAGAGAGGTAATTATAGAGAGGAATAACTGTATATATAAAATCAGTTATATTTAATATTTAATAAATAAATAAGAGTAAATTTATTTATCACACTGTGTAATGTATTACCTTAATGCAAAATTATATAATACTAGTCAAAATTAAAATGATATTAAACGTAAAACATAAAAAAAATTTTTACAACTAAAAAATTTCTCTGTCTTTAGAATATATATGAAAAATGAAGAAAGAAATAATATGACCAGATAACAAAAGAGACGATAATATTACATAATATGATGAATAAATTATTTTATAAATAAAATAATTGTTTTTAATATATTAAATATAATTTTTTATTTATAAAATTTATTATTTTAATTAAAATTTTACTTGATATAAATGATCACCTTTGGACTATAAAAATTTTAAAAAGTTTGTATTAAGTATATTTTTTACTTATTATATAGGTAAAAGAAATTTATTTAAAATTAATATTTTTTTTTTTTTTTTGAAAATTATTTGCATGCATAATAAAATTTTGTAAAATTTAAAAAATGAAAATAAATATACTGTACATCAATATAAAAAAAATATATTTTAGTATATATTTTACAACAATAAATAATGTGATATTAGTATTTATTTATTTTTTTTATTATAATGAATATCGAAATATCAAAAAGCATTGATAAAAAATGATTGCCTTTTTTTTTCATTAAAAGCTCTTATAATAATTTAAGTAAGTGAACTAATATTCAATTGTTCGTGTTCAATTATTTAACTTGATATTAATTATAAAGAATGTATTTCACTGTTCCATTCAAATAGAGAATGTATTAAGAAAGATGCATGACCATCGTATGGAATTAAAAAAAAAAAAGAGTAATGATGTATTAGCTTTATTAACCTTGTCTTAAGAAAATTTGATAATGATGTTATTAATTTATTAATAATTTTAAACTGTAGTTCTTCCGATTCATATTCTTTGTTGAAATTAATTTTGGAAGGAAACGAATATTTCGTTTGTTTTGTTTTGAAAATTATCGAAAATTCGGACCGGATGTTCCATAGGGATAGGGTTCTCTCGGTCCCATTTCGTCTCTCCTAGTAAAATAAGACTGAGAGTTCAAACAAATTCGGTATATAATTATCTTAATTTGATGACAGGTACGATTTAGAGCCAACTATTTTGAGCCGGTCCGGTTCGATTTTTAAAACTGGTAAAAATAGTTGTAATTCAAGAATTCAAGAATATGCTGAATTTAGAATCGGTTCCATTCCTAATGTCCCATCTTAACGATATTTTGTAATTTAAGTTGATTGACAAATAATACCGGAGCAAAGCATTCAGCAATTCAGCAAAATGGGAATATATATAAAAAGATTTCGTATCATTTACATTACTAATGAACATTAACGAAAAACGCAAAAAAATTTATAAATAAACAATAAGACATTCAAATAGATTCGAATAAAAAAAATCCGAAAAAACTCAAATCTCTTGTAAATATTTATTTACATTCCTAACTTTTATAAATCATTGCATTTACAAATCATCGCATATTGATAAAAAAGCAAAAATTCTTTCAAAAATTTATTCATTATATCGTTGATTCTTTTAAATGTACATTAAAAACTGCCAATTCAAAGTACATGATACCAGGGCAAACAATAGTACTGTAAAAAACGGAGATCTCCGATTTGTTTTAAAAATATCCGGTAAATTTTTTCAAAACCGGATATTTTTCCCTACTTGATACTAAAAAAAATGATTTAAAAATTTAAGCGGCACGTGGAAAATATTAGTATCATGTGACTTTATAATAAAGTTCCTATTTGTCACCATCCACATGTCCACTAATTACGTGCGTTTAATATCAACAATATCAACTTAAAAAAAAATACTACTTTAAAATCGAATCAGTAATAACTTATTCCTTTCCCACTTTCACCCTCACCGCTAGAATAAATGAAATTAGGGGCAGCCACGGCGAACCATAACCACCCCAACTACCAGAAATTATGCGCTCGAGACATCCATAAGGATGTTCGGAGCGATAGCCGCCAGCGAAGTGCAATGCTGGCAAACAACGCCCGCATCTCTGCCTTATTGATCACAGAAATGCCGCGCCAGGTAAGTATGAGTTGTTATAAATTCAATTCTGTTATATATATAGGGAATTTTCGAAATTGAGAAAATTATGGGATTGATATTTTGGATTTTGTAACACAAAGATTTTCACGTGATCCGCAAATTTATCATTTCGTGTTTTCATCAAAAAAAAAAAAATTTTTTTTTTTTTGTGATGTTCCATGAACCTTTTCTCTATCCCTTCCTTACTCCAAACGATCCACCCTTTTTGTTATCTACATGTTCTTGTCCATGAACTTTAAAATTATGACTGGTGCACGTGAAGACGACCGACAGTAGTATGTGTTTGTTTTGCTCGTTCCAACCTTTGACGCGCGCTTTCATATACATTGAATGATATTTGCTGTGTTAGCTTCAAAAAACAAACGAATAGACAAGATTATTATTATAATAGAAAGAATTCTTTCGGTAAGATATAAGAAAAAATTTTTTTTTTTTTGTTTTAATGTAAATTCTCTTTGAATAAATATTTTTTTATAAAATTTATAAACTAAAATATCGAGTAAAAATATATATATATATGATGCTATTACACCACCTTCAGGGACGATTACTCCTTATTCAACGGTTCCATTAAATTCCACGATTGCTTCCAATCACAACTCGTTTACAGCTTTACCTAGCTTGAAACCAGCTCTTGAACACACTCCTGTTAATAACTTTAATGCTCGAGAAGTTTCGGATTTTTTGAATAACAGTAAATGAGCCGACTAAATCATGAATTAAAGCTTATATGGTTTTCTTTTTTATTTTAATTTTTTTTTTTTCCTTTTAGCCTGGAAAGAAACATTGGAACAATTTCATGATGATAATCTACCTGAATCAGGTAATTATAAATAAAAAAATAGTAAATTATATAATATATAAATAATTTTTGTTTTGAATCGTTTTAATAGAAAAACCCGAATTGTATAAATCGACCGAAAGGGCTTGGGGAGCTAGAAATGGCCTTGTGTGGGGACAAAAAGGTTATTTTCAGAATGAAATAATTAACATCATGTTAATGCTATTAAATAATTTTAATTTATTTAGGACATTTAATGGCAAATGGAAATGATTTTTTTGATGAATTGAGAAAGTCATCGTTTTCTCAAGTATCAAATGGTCAGGCATCGATAGCCAAGCAAATCGAAAGATCATAACTTCAAAATGAAGTTTTAAGGTGATTGCATTTTATATGATTAAATAAATATTTATGTGAGAGAGATTTGTTAAGTGAAATTTGATTTTTTATTTGCAATCGTTTCCCCCTTTTTTTTTGTTACTATAATTTATTATTATTAAAGACAAAATCTATAAGAAATAAAAATATAAGAAGTTTTTTTTTTAAAAGAAAGAAAAAAAAAAACTAAATTAATTCAACCATGTTCGCTTAATTGTCGGTTAATAATAAATTGGGAAACGGGTTATACTCTATTTTATGAAAAATATATATAAATATATAAATATATATATATATATATTATTTTTTTTTTTTTTGAAAGAAAATTTTCCCATCTGTTCTTTATCACTTCGGATATATACAAAAAAATAGAAGAGATTATGATGCACCGTTAACAATCCCACCTTTCTTCCAAGGACCTGCATCCGAAAGTTGACAACCACCCTCACATTGACATTTACCACCAAAAGCGGAAGGTAAATTCTCGGCAGGAATATTTTGCAATAAAGTAGATTGATATTTTGAATTAAGTATAACAATCTTTGCGGCAGTAACTTCATCTAATAAAGGTTTAACTAAATTCCAAACAGAAGAAAATAACATGGGAGCGTTGATAATATAAAATTTACCCATACGCTCAGGATAATAGTTTTGACCAATGTTGGAAGCTTGTTTGACGAAGCCAAAAACGTTTGAAAAGGAACGTAAACTAACCCCTTTGAGGTCAAGAATGGTACACGAGGTTTCAATTAATTTAGCAAACTTTTCAGAACAGGAAGGTAATCTGACATCAGCCAATCTTTCATATTCGACGACTAGGTTTTGAATTTGCCTTTCTAATGTAGTGATTTGATATAAAGCTTTTACATCAACTTTACCAATTTCTTCAATATAGATTGGTCTACCATCATTATCAGTCTTATGATAATACCTTGGATAATATTTCATTACTTCATCACGTTCTTTATAATCGAATGTGGCTACTAATTCATCGACACCAAAGTCTTTACGCCATTTTTCACAATCCGTAAACATTTTTTTTGTTTTAACTAAATCAAATTTACGTGCACGTAAGAACCTTAATAAACATGCATCATCATGACGTTTTTCATCAAATATTCCTTCTTTCTTGATTTCTTCACGAAATTTATCCAATGTTTCTTGTTGTTGAGGACTTAAATTACCGATATGTCCTGTAAACTTTTGTTGCTCACTTACAGTTGCTGATGGTGGCATCTTTTTTATTGTGTAAAGAGTTATTGTTTTTTAAAAAAAAAAAAAAAGAAAAAGAAAAGAAAAAGGGAAAAAGAAGCTTTCTGTTTTATTTTTGATAAAGGTAGTGTGGTGTTTGTTGAGATGTCAAGGTGCGAGATTGTCAAAGATCAGCTTTTTTGCTTTTTTTTTAAAAAAATATTTTTTAAATAAAAAAGAAAATGGAAAAATTGTCCAATATTTATTGAAGATATTTCATTATTAAAAATGACCGCGTGGTATTGGTTTAAATTTAGATCCTTTTAAGGAAGTTTGATATCTGTACGCCCACATCCATCCGAATTTCTAATGATAAAAAACAAAAATGTAGATGCAAGTATATGAGTTGCCCAAATAGATTTATTTTTAATTTATGTAAGATGTACAAGTATGATCAGAAAGAACCACTCAATACCTCATGGTTTCTTTTTATTTTCTTTGTAATCCGAATATATTTGTTTTTCATCGTTCTTAATAGAGAAATAAATGAAAGCCGAACTAAACTTGGGTATTTCAAAATTTTTTTCAACATTTCTGTACAACCTTAATTGAAAGGATTAAAACACCAATAGCGATTGGAATGAATGTGAGAAAGAATTACATGCATAGGAAATCTAATTAAAACCCAGGGATTTTATTGTCCAAATGTAGTTTTATTAATAGCATATATTCGGATTACTATATTGGCCATAAACTTACTAAAAAGTAAATATTATTACGAAAGCGTTGTTGTATCAACATTCGTTCATGGTTCAAGTTACCAAAAGTTTATTTGAATGACGATGCTAATGCTTAAATTCATTAAATTCTAATCGTTAGGCCAAGAGATCTCTTGACCATTTGTTGGACTTGGCCCAATGCCAAAATGGCCAAAAAATGCTCAAAACAGTCAAATTTAATAAATGTATTAAATAATTATTAGGATTTGATTGGCGGTCAAGAATTTTTTAGCCATTTTGGCCGGCCGGCAAAATTTGGCCAAAGCCAAATAGTTTATGGATAACAAAGCATTGTAAGTTGATCTCGTGTAACCACATCAATTTGAAATGGATTTTTTAAAGTTTTGTCCATGAAAAAAATTCTAGGATATTTTACTCCCATTTTTTTTTATTTTTAAGATGAATTCCTCGCATCATTTTTTTTTTTATGATTAAATTACACGATCTTTCATGTAACACACTTGTTAAAAAACGCGTAAAGCATTCAATTATCCAAGAATACCATTTATTGGTTACGACACGATTGGTTACGATAATTGACTTGTAACTGGTTCGAACGCATGTTCTTTTACAAAGTCACAAGTCAAAAAAAAAAAAAAAAAATAAATAAAAAAAATCCCAATCGTTATTAATGGTGCGATCGAATCTCTTTTACAAATAAGGAAAAATATCACCCGAGAGTTTTGGTGCAACCAATACATGTTAATCATGACATATAAAAAGGGAATTTTTTTTTTTCAAATCTGGTTTCTTTACCACAATCTTTTAGTTGGTTAAATTTTTTTTTTTTAATCGGGTAGAAAAAAAAAGAATTTTCTTTTTAAATTATAGAAAACTCTGCAAACGAATATCTTTAAACATTTTTTTTTTTTTTTTTTTTTTTGAGAAAAGTTTATCAAAATGTCAACAAACGCTAGAGACATTCCCGCCATAAAGAAAGCTGAACCTGGAACGCCGCTTCCGCCAAATTATAGTACAACGCCTTTAGGGACAATTTATTCTAGTACGCCTGGAGGTAATTGCTTTCCACAACGCGTTAATTACGTTTCAAAAGATAGAATGATCAACTAAATCACTTCTTTCAAAATAAGGATCAAAAATTATGTATGATCGTACCACATTACTTAATCTTGCCAATTCTCCATTGGCAAAAACTCCACCATCTAACCTGGCTTATGTTCCTGGAGTAACAAAAGTTCCTAATAATGAGAATAATAATAATAACCCATCAAAATCCAATAATAATAATAATAATAATAATAATAATAATAACAAAAATACGGCAATTCAGGTAGAAGGACATTTAGCTCCTCCAAATGTTCATCCCTTTCCTGGACTCCAGCAACAAGGTGGTAATGATAAACACAGTGACACGGCTGGTGGTGAAAGTGGTGATGATGATGTTCATGGTATGTAAATCATTTTATCCTAAATTGAAAAAGAAAAATTTTTTCCTTCTGATTGAGAGTATCATCTTCCTTTCTAGATAACAAAGAACATCAAGATCATGGTGTATTTGATATGGATATGGAATAATGTGTATTATTTCAAATTCTTGTACAGATTCATAGTTTTTTTTATGTTGATATAATAGTAGCAATTCTTGCGACATGGTCCTCTCCTTTGCCAAAAAAAAGAAAAAAAAAGAATAGGATTATTATTATTTTTTTTTTTTTGGAAAAATAAAATCAATTTTATTTATGATGCAGAAATGTTTCTTAATCGAGGAACATATGATTATTTATATTTCCAATCTTAATTATTAATCATAAAAAATAAAAAAAATAAAGAAACCCCCCCTTCTCAAAGCATATTATCTGAAATAATTAATCCTACATTTTAATCTTCCGCACAAATATTTTATTTTTAACAGTATAAGCGAACAAAATAACGCATAATACTTTAAAAATATTTTTGAATCTTCCATTTTCTTTTGCGTTACGTTTATTAGTAAATTTCGGTTTAGTAAATAATAACCAATTTAATAATTTATAATTCAATTCTTTATATGGAGCATATCTTCCTTCTAACAATTTCTCGGTTAAAAATGGCGACGTTAATACGCTCCTTTCATGTGTAAAAGTTTCAAATGATTTACGTCCATGATATGCTCCTATTCCCGATGCTCCTGTTCCTCCAAATGGTAAATTTGGCACTAATTGGCAAAGGAGAACGTGTAAAGTCAGTCTAAAAAGGGGGGAGATGATGTTAAAATTTATTCGCTTACCGGTAGAATGAATGAGACAATCGTTAACAGTTACACCACCGGACCGCGTATTATTCAAAACTAAATAAAATCAAAAAAATAAAATATCAAAAAAAAAAAATCAAAATAAAATAAAATAAAATTTCAAACGTCCTTATATTTACTTTGTTTGATGGTATCATTATTATTGCTAAAAGGATATAAAGATAAAGGAGTGTCTTTTTCATTAATGTATTCAATGGCTTCATCGATACTTTCAACGACAACAATAGGTAAAATAGGGCCAAATATCTCATCTTCCATTAATTTATCATCTTTGGGTACATTAGTGACGATAGTAGGATCGATAAACAAATTGTCACGATCGGTTTTACCTCCGATAACTACGTTTCCTTTGGTTTGATCCAATAAATTCGTTAAACGATCAAAATGCCTTTGATTAATTATACGAGCATAATCTGAAGATTTTTGTACATCCTTTCCGAATTGATTCTCTATCACTTTAGGAAATTCTAAAAGTAAAGCTTCTTGGATTTTTTTAGTGCACAAGACATAATCTGGTGCAATACACGTTTGACCAGCGTTAAATGACTTTGACCATATCAATCTCTTTGCTGTTACGGTAATATTGATATTATCATCTAATATTGCGGGACTTTTCCCTCCCAATTCAAGTGTGACGGGAGTTAAATGTTTGCACGCGGCCGACATGATGATTTTACCCACCACCCCTGATCCTGTGAAAAATATATGGTTAAATTTATAAGTTAATAATTCCGTCATTTCTTTTGTTCCTCCATTTATACACCTATATGATCTCTGATCCAAATAATTTGGAAATAATTTGCAAAGTAAGGTTGCTGAATTCATCGGTAATTCTGATGGTTTGATTATTGCCGTACACCCTGCTGCTATCGCCCCCACTAATGGACATAATACCAAATTAATTGGATAATTCCATGCTCCAATTATGAGAACCGTTCCTAAAAAAAAAAAATAATAATAATTTAAAAATTTAAAGAAAAATTTTAAATTTTTGAAAAGGTTTAGTACTTACCAACGGGATCTTTCCTGATATGACATCTGTTTAACTTATGCGCCAAAGAAACTTTAACATATTCAGGAGAGGTCCATTCGTCCAATTGATTAATAGAATCCAAACATTCTTGTCTAATCATATCAATTTCTCCTAATAATGATTCGATTTTATTTTTATGTAAATCCTTGTACAATGCATCACAGATTTCATCCTCATTTTCATCTATTAAATTGTACAATTGTTCAAGTTGTTTTTTACGATAATTTAATGGTTTCGTTAAATTTTGTTTGAAAGAATTTCGAAGTTCCTCAACAATCTTATATATTTATATATATATTTATTTATTTATTTATATATTTTAAAAGAAGAAAAAAAAAGGAGTTCAATTGCTCGTCATATATATATATATATTTATTTATTTTTTCTTTAAAAATAAAATAAATAAATAAATAAATTTCTTACTTGAGGAAATTCATTAACATCCGTATATTTTGTCGTCATTTTTATTTTAAAAAATTTTTAAATAATTTTTTCTATATTTGATGAAGGGGAAATAAAACACTGTCAACCAATTCTTTTTTAAACCGTTTCTTTTAAATATCATTGATCTTCCAAATTATCTTACCAAAATAGGGAGTAATGAATGAAAATCCCCTAAATCTTAAAAATCTCCGCCTTTTTTTTTTTTCTTTTCTTTTTTTTTTTTTTGTAATTTTCTTATTTTTTTCCTCTCCCCAAAAAAGGATGGTACAAACGCATGAAAAAACTGCAACTAGTCCAGTAAACATTGCCGTAAGTACAAATAAAATCATCATCATTATTCTTCATTATTTTTTTTTTTTTTTTTTTTTTTTTTTAAAGAAAAATTGTAAACCTTTTTTTTTTTTCACGATATCAGGTCATAAAATATTGGGGAAAGAGAGATACAGATTTGATATTACCAACCAATTCATCAATTTCCGTCACATTATCAAAAGAACACTTACAAAGCAAAACCACGATTCGAGCATCACCATTATTTGAAAAAACGCGGTTATGGCTTAACGGTATCGAAGAGATCAACCTCATTAACAACAAACGGATACAGAATTGTCTAAGAGAAACAAAACTCTTACGTAAAGATTATGAAGAAAAATTGGGTAAAGAAATTGGTATGGATAATGTATTATCATTATCCACTTATAATTTACACATTTGTTCGGAAAACAATTTTCCTACAGCGGCAGGTTTAGCTAGTTCCGCATCAGGATTTGCTTGTTTGGTTTACACTTTATCACAATTATATGAATTACCCGTTTCCGCTACGGAGTTATCAAAGATCGCAAGGCAAGGTTCTGGTTCGGCTTGTCGTTCCTTGTTTGGTGGATTTGTTAGTTGGCAGATGGGATCAAAACGAGATGGATCTGATAGTCAAGCGTTACAAATCGCTTCCTCTGATCATTGGCCGGAATTAGAAGCATTAATTTGTGTAATAAGTGATGCAAAGAAAGGGACGTCTAGTACAGAAGGGATGCAAAGTACCGTTAAAACTTCAACGTTACTTCAACATCGTATTGATAATGTTGTACCTGAACGTATGAAATTAATGACAGATTCTATTTTGCGAAAGGATTTTAGCAAATTTGCTGAATTAACCATGAAAGATTCAAATCAATTTCATGCTTGTTGTTTAGATACTTTTCCTCCAATTTTTTACCTTAATGATACTTCTCGTGCCATAATTAGTGTCATCACCGAATATAATGATAAATCTGGTGAATGTAAAGCTGCCTATACCTTTGATGCCGGTCCTAATGCTGTAATTTATGCTTTAAAACAAAATATTCCCGAAATTATTAATTTAATTTCCAAATTTTTCCCTCCAAGTCGAGAAAATCTAACATTTTTTTCGGATCCTTTTAAATTATTTTCGGATAGAAAAATAGGTAATTTACCTTTACCCGCTAATTTTAATGAAAATATTATTCCTATTTTTCCTAATGATAGTGTTAAACAAATTATACACACTTGTGTTGGCAATGGTCCTAGGGTCAAAAATGATGAAAGTTTATTAAATTCTGATGGGTTTCCAAAAAATTTAAAAAAATAATGAAATTCCCTTATTCATTTCATTCCTGTTTTCTATTTTTTTTTTGTATAATAACATTATTAATAATAAATTGTTAGGTTTAAAAAATTTTTTTTATTTTATTTATGATTCAAGTCTGTACAAAATATAAAAAATCTTTTTTACTACTAAAATAATTCCATATAAAAATCCAAAAAAAAAAAAATTATAATATTATAAAACCCAATTTACAAGATATATATATATATATATATATATTATAAGAGGCAGAAAATGGACTTCTAAAAACAATCTAAAGAGAATTAAATCCTTGATCAAATAATAAGAAGGGAATAATGAACAAAAAAAAAAAAAATTAGATACGTTAAGAATAAGTAAAACGTTATATACTGAGCTGATGAATTATTATGAAACTTTTGAGGTTTAAATTTGTTTAGGTCACATCATTCATCCATATTATTTGTTCCTTCCGTTGTAAATTCTTTTGATGATCCATTTGAAACGGTATCGTTCAAATTTGCTTCCGTTGTGAATTCAGTATTGTTAACGAGCGAAGTTGAAGGATTAATAGAATTTATGCCACCTGAAGTGACTTCACACGGATGATTCTCAAAAAATTTATTGGAAAGCGTATGTGAATATCTTCCTCTTCGAGGTCTTATTTCTGCAGTGTTATACTTTGTTCGATATAAATCTATCGCTTTTTGAAGGAGTGATTTCTTACCATCAAGTTTAGATTGATTAAGAAAAGCCTTGGTGTTTTTTTTTTTCCACCATCAAAAAAATTGTTGTTATTAATCAGATAAATTAAAAAAAAAAATGACAGTAAAAAAAAATAGAAGCAAAGATTAAGAATCTCACCAACTTCCATCCCAATTCGTTAATATTCGCCTCATTAGAACCTTGATACTCATTTTTTGGCACATTAGCTTTTGGAAAAATACAATTGTTCTTTTTAAATTCTTCAGGTATCTCCATTAAATTTATAGCATCTACATCAACACGTATTCTAATTTTAGTAGATGTACCTTTTTCAAAAGATTCCAATGTTAATTGTTTAGCAACACCTTTTTGTCTCTTTGCTGAATTATCATTTATACCATCATGCACATCTCCGTCTCTCGTAACTCTCTTACGTAAAGTTCCATTCATGATCTTTTCGTTACGAACTACTCTACGAGAACGTAACACGGGATCTCGGTTTCTGTAACTATCTACGGCTCTTTGTAGTAACCCTCTTCTACCTCCAATCTCTTCTTTATTTAACCATGCCAACTTCCATCCAAGAGAGTTACATTCATTTTCATAAGACCACCTGTTTCCTTTATATTTATCTTCGGTACAATTAGCCCTTGGATACAGACAATTTTCGCGTCTAAATTGCTCATCGATATCCTCTAAATTTGCTTTATCAATATCAATGCGTATACGATATTCTTTATTGTTACCTTTAACTGAATAAGTGAAGACAACCCACGGTATTCCATTACATTCTTCAATTATGGGATCCGTAGCCGGAAGGGCATGATTTGGTGTGGGATTTGAAATCGGAATATCTAGTTTATTTGGAGACATTGTATCTGTTGATTGTCGTGACTTTTCAGAAGTTTGTAGAGGAGAAGGTTGTTGATATTGCGGGGCATAAAATTGGTGTTGCTGTAGATTTATTTGTTGTTGTTGATGTTGATTTTGATGTGATCGTATTTGTTGGTTATCGTGTATAGATTGTTGATAATGATGATGATCTGGATATAAATGATTTACAATTGTTGATCTTGATGGATCCTGTGATGATGATGATGTTACAAAATTAGAAGATAAGTAATGATTGTTGTTACCTTTGTTAATGAAAGTTACCGGTGAAATTGATGTAGAATTTGAGATTGACGTGTTTTGTGTAGTCGAATTATGCACATTAATATTGACGACAAGGCTATCCATGTCAGTGGTAGCGTTGGCGATTTCATCCGAGGGGTTTAGCTTTTTGGATTCTTTAGCCTTTTTTCTCTTAACACGTTGCACGGTCCTTTCGATCATTGACAATTGTTCAATTGTTAAGGCTCCCAAGAGTTCCTCGGTTCGTGGGTCAGGTGTTAAGAGAGCAGATATGGTAACTACGGGAACGGTCGACGTGTTGGAAGAGTTATGATATGTTAAGTGAGGCTGCGTTGAAGGTAGAATGGCTGCAGAAGAGTGCGCAAATGCATCCACAGTTCCTGAAATTTGGGGATTTGTCGGTGAAGCTTTAGTTCTTGTCACTGGCGTCGCAATGATTTCTGATGCTGCAGCACCAACTCCAGCACCGGTTGGCTGCACCCAGGCGGCAAGACCCACGACAATGGGGGAATGTGGCCCTGAACGTTGTTGTTGTTGCTGTTGTTGTTGTTGTTGTGTAGAAGTTATAGTATTAGTAAGAACATGACTTGTAGAATTTGTACCGCGTGTTGTCGTAATTTGAGGAGTTAACGTATTTTGTGTCGTATGAATTGTTAGTTCGTTAGTATTAGTAATTTGTGGGTTTTCGTGCTGGAGTGTCTGTTGCATCTTTAGGATATTAAGTTAATAGTGTGAAAATTTTGCGAACGCAACAGGGGATAAACCAAAAAAATTTTCTTTGGAAAAAAAAAATTTAATTAGGAACCCCTGAGAGTTATAATACTTTAGAAATGCATTCATCCAATTAAAAAAAAATTTTGCGTTAGCGTATTACGAATTACGATTGGTTACCGTGCGAAATTAATGCTCTGTAAGGGTTTTGTATCCCTGATTTAGTCAACAAGGGTTTAAAACTTTAAAAATATGTTGGTCAATGCTCTTTTTTTTCCTAAGATGATACACACATTTTAAACATCATTTAAAACCATATTTAAAATTACATTTAATTAGTTAAATTATGTTGTGTTCCTTTTTGTTTATTTAATTTTAATAAGCAAATACGTACCCATATTTATATTTCCTTTTTGAATGAATTAATTCCTTTCCTTGTTTCCATTGAAGTAATTCTATGATCCCGTTTATAAACATGAAAACGATCTCTAATTTAAAAATAAAATCTTGGAAACAATCGACGGTAAAGTTTTAATGAAACGCATTGAATCTAAACGACGATAAAATTAAACAAAAGCCTTTGTATTTTTACATATGAAATCCTATTTTTAAAAAATTCACATTTAAAATCTACTTTTAGGCATAAGGCATAAGTTTTTTCAAATGGTTCATTTGAGAACTATGTGCATAGGCCGGTTCGCTTAAACGTCTAATTTTAGAACGGGAAACACCAGTGTTTAAATGTCTTTTTCCGGCTTTTGACCTTTTAAACTTTCCATTACCTAAAACACGAAATCTATATGAACGTTTATGGTAAGATAATTTTTGATCCAATTTCGATAATTCAATTCGAGGATTAAATTAATTGGTTCATTTTACCTTTTCTTTGCTCCCGAATGAGTTTTCATTTTAGTAGACTTACATCTAATAAAAACGGGAGGTGTTAATGTGACATGCGTAAGATTAATGAAATGAAAAGGGGAACTTTGAAATCCATTTTTTTGTGTATAATAATTAGTTAATAATAAGGGGTGAGGGGTTGCTTTGGTACTGAAAGGTTTCGTAATATTCTGGAATAAACGTTTATTTGAACTATGTGCTACCACGGGGTTAAAAAGAATTCTTTGACCTAAGACACAAAATTTAAATTAGACGAATCGTTAAACGTAAAGAGATATGAGGCACAATGAGAGGGCTTTCATACCAAGTTTAAGAAGAAAGGACATTTTTTTTGGTTTTATTGGCAAGATGAAAATTTTTTTTTTTTTTTTTTTGAATTATGATGAAAAGTCAACAACGTGTTGTCGCACAGGGAGACTATCGTCACGTGATAGATTTACTTTATCATTCCATTGGACCGCAAATTCTTTTGCCTCAACATATCTTTTTTTTCTCAACATGGATTTATAAATCTTTACCAACATTAACTCGGAAGGAGGGAACTTAAATTCGACTTTCATAACATTTAAAAACTCTACGGCTTTCTTAGTTAACCCTTTTTCACATAAATTAAATAAGATATAACTAAATATCTGATGAGTTGGGTTTAAATTAAATTCATGGATCATTTGTTCAACGTAACTTTTAGCCTTATCCATGTCTATCCTACTAGAATTTCTAACGAGAGTATTAAACAAGTAAATGTGCGGTGGCAATTTGATTTCTATGAAAAGTCGAAAACATCTATCCATCATTGATAAATCTCCTGCATTTCCGTGTGCATTCATTAAATAATTAAAGGTGTGGATGATCATTGATTCGCTACGTAAAATTTCTTGCTTGGTTAATTCTTTTGAGAGATTTTTTTGAGAAAATGTCTCTTCAAGTAAACCTTGAGCAGATCCCAAATCATTTGATGCTAAAAACAATCGAGCCAAGAGGCAATTTGTTATTACATTTGGCTTCCTACCACTATTTCTAAGACTGATCAAAACCCTTTGCGCTCTCCGAAATCCTTCCTCCTTTCCTTTACGTGATTTAATCATACGCCAACATGAAGTTATATAAGAATTATACATATATGTTGTAGGTTGAATTTTTCTTTTGATTATCTCTTCCCAAAGGTTATCACATACTTTAGGATTTCCTATTAAACTAAATGTATTCAACATGTGGGTAAAATCATTAACATCTGGTTCTATGCCAGTACTTTTCATTTTATTAAAGATAAAAAAAACTTGATTTTCTAAAGTGTATCTTTGTTTTTCATCGAAACTTTTTTCAAATGAAAAAATTTTTAATACTCTGGAATGTTGTAAAGGTGATAAAAGATGTAATTGTTTTTTATTGTAAAGTTCTAAATATAATCTCCAGGTTTCTTTGGTATCATTTTGATAAATCGACTGTAAAAGTGGTAAAACTTCTTTTGGTGCTACTTGTCTTAAAGAGTTGGAAATATCTTTTTTCTTGGGAGGATCATATAAAAATGAATGATGTGTTGCAATGCTAGTGATGTATAATTGTTGTACCTTTCCAATCTTTATTAAAGAATTTCTGTGTGGGTACGTTGAGGGTTGAAACGATTTCCATAGTCTAACGACAATTGACATTTTTTTTTTTTTTTTTTTTTTTTTTGTAAAAATGATAACGATAAGATTCAAAAAAAAAAAAAAAAAAATCCTGTCTGTCAATTCACGTGACGTTTCAATTTAAAAATTCGTGTTTCAACACGTTTTACCCGAACTCATCCACCATGAATAATTCTTATTCCGCACGAAAAAAATGGCAAATTTTATTCAATATTCTCATACTTCAATTATTAGGAATTTTTTTTTTTGCAAAAGGGTTTTTCCCATACAAAGCCAATTTATCTGGCCTGTCAACAATAAATGACTTACCTCCATTACCTACTGGAGAAAAAATATTACCACCAAAGCCAAAATTTGATCGATTGGTTTTTATGCTAATTGATGCACTAAGAAGGTTTTAATCTTTATATTCGTCAATTTTCGTTTAATTTGGTCTAATTAAACGTTGACATTTTGATTAATTATAGCGATTTCGTGTTTGGAAATAATTCTGGATTGAAATTCGTTCAAAGGTAAATAAACGAATATCGGTTCACTTTTTCATAGACAAAATGCGTCGAATTAGTGAAATCCTAATCATAATTCCGTCAGCCTTATTTCAGAGCGACTTGCCATTCCTTACACAGCGATAGCGACTGCTCCAACGGTGACTTTACCTCGAATTAAAGCTTTAACGACCGGTACACGTCTAAATTGTACTTTCCAACTAAAAAATTTCAATCGATCTAAAACTTCTTATTTATTGTGTAGGAACTGTACCAAATTTCTTGGACGCAATTCTTAACATTGCAGAATCTGATACTTCATCTTCATTATCATATCAAGATAATTGGTTAGTACAATTGAAGAATGTTGGTAATAAGTCCATATCATTTTTTGGTGATGATACTTGGATAAAACTTTTTCCTGGATTATTCCATGAAACGGATGGGACTACTTCTTTCTTCGCTGCGGTATGTATTCTTCGGCATTCTTTCTAATTTATATATGCGCCGCTTATCTTAAATTGCAATTGATTAATTTAGGACACTGTTGAAGTTGATCTTAATGTAACTCGAAATGTGGTTCCACAATTGTCAAAGTCTGAATGGGATGTTCTGATATTTCATTACCTTGGATTGGATCATGTTGGACATTCAAGTGGACCTCGTAGTCCTTTGATGTTACCAAAGCAATATGAGATGGATGAAGTTGTGAAGGTGATTTATGAGACCATATTGGAGCAGGACAAGAAAAGGATTGAGGATGATCCTAATGCGAAGTCCACCCTTTTTGTGTTATGTGGAGACCATGGAATGAATGAGGTTTGGAAATTATCACCGCATTTTATCAACTGCAATCCAATACTTACTAAGGATTTCTTATGTAAAGGCAGGAAATCACGGTGGTTCATCTCATGGTGAAATATCAACCGTAAGCTCACTTTATCTATTATAACTTTATACGGTTTAGATTGAGTATGTAAGGTTAAAGAATATTCTTTTGTTTCTTACAAGGCATTTGTTTTCATGAGTTCCGAATTCATCTCCATGAAGCATGTTCCTGAAACTTTTAGTATACCACACGATGAGCATTCCATGAATTTTTACAAAGTAATAAACCAGGTGGATTTCGTCTCTACTATCAGTTATCTGTTTGGAATTCCTATTCCAAAGAATAATTTGGGAATGTTGTTGTTAGACTTGATAGGCGATATTGATGGTGATAAAAATTAAATTCTTTCAGAGTTCTTTGATCATGTTCAATCTAACCTCACGTTTGGATTTATACTTTAGCTTTGGAGAAATTGCGTGCGTTGCAGTTAAATGCACATCAAATATCTGGTATATTAAAGTCATTATGGTCATCATTTGATCGTAACCCTAACGTTGCCCAAAGTGAATTGGATTGTGATATTAATTCTGATGATGATCAGATACAATTGCAATGCTTGTATTCGATGGCCTATTATAATCACGCCAAATCTCTGGAAGTCAATGACATCAGCTATATTAATGATGCGTTGTCATTTTATAACAAGGTAAAGCTCCCGTAATATTATTTTTCATTCTTAGCATATGTCTAAACAGTATTTTTTTTTTTTAAAAAAAATTAGTTTATTGCAAAGTCTGGTTCCCGCCTTGCATCAAGTTTTAGTGATTATGATCTTGTATCAATGTTCGTGGGATTATGCTTTATGGTCCTTGCTGTGACGAATTATTTTGTTACAATGTTAGATTCGTATGTTCAATGGAACAAACAATTTAACAATCAAAGTAAAAGTTTACAAAGTCATTTAGAATTCCTTAGTGTAATTGGAACAGTTGCATTTTGTTTCACTTTGTTTGCGAGTAGTTATATTGAAGAAGAACATCAATTTTGGTATTATTGGACACAGACTATGCTGATCTCATTTATCATTTTAAGGCAAGTCTCAGAAAAATGTTAATAGTCTAGCATGTCTTGAATTTAACAACTTGATTATGATGATATACATACAGCTTTAGATCGAGTATTAAGACACCGTTTATAAAACAAGCATTTGTTCTGGTGTGTCAAATGATATTAATTAGATTGATTAGAACTTGGAATCAAACCGGTGAGTTATGAATCATAGCATATTTCGGTTTTTTGTTTTTTTTTAAAAATATTTATTAAATCGATTCGTTATATGTTTTAGGTCAAAAATTTGCTGGAGAGATTGATCTAAAATTCTACCTTAACACATCATACATTAATTTAATGTGGATATTATATTTTAGTACAATTTCTGTTTTAACTATAATCACTTTACGAGAAATTCACAAATTATATGTCATTAATAAATCACGGGAAAGTACTATTTTACAACTTATTACGCAATTATTGGTGATCATCGTTGCAATATCTGCAACTAAATATAAGTTAGAATTGGATGGAGATGTGAAATTGTTTCCCAAGTTATTTCATTTGATGTCATTGATCGTACGGACAACTCAAATTACAGCGCTTGCCAGGCTTATTTATGTGCTACTTGTTATAAGTCTTGTCCTATGTAAGTTTGGTATGATATTAAATGCAAAATCCGATAAAGGTATTTATCCTTTTTTTTATTTTATTTTATTTTATATCTTGATTTTAGTTTGATGATAATATTTTTTCAATAGGGTCGAGTTTAAGAAATTTTCCGAAAATAACATTATGTTTAATAACATATTTATTTATCTTATTATCAAGACCACATAACGTACCATTATACGGATTATATTATTTACAATATTATTTATTTTTCAAATTATTGAATTATTCATCTGTTACTACTACTAATAATGATACATTATTAACCCCATTATCGTATAATTTTTTAATAATATCATTTGAATTTTTATCATTTTTCTCTTTAGGTAATTCTAATTCATTATCATCTATTGACATAAGTCATTCATATACTGGTATAAATAACTATAATGTTACGTTTGTTGGATTGTTAACTTTCTTGGGAAACTGGAGTGGACCAATTTGGTGGTGTTTTGCCAGTATTATATTAAGAAAGGAGATATTAATACGTCAGAAATTAAGTAAAGAAATTGATAATGAAGAAATGAATAATAGTAAAGAAAAAGGATTTAAAAATGATAAAATAATACACGATTCATCATCTTTAAATATAACTTTATTTTCTGATTATTATATATACACATCATTGTTTCATTCTATTGTAATACTTACTTTATCAATTGGAGTTATGATCTTAAGAAATCATTTATTTATTTGGACGGTATTTTCGCCTAAATATTTATTTCAAATAGTTTGGAATATTTTATTTCATTTTGGCATTGAACTAATTTTAATTGGAATTTTTGAAATATTAAATAAAATTTAATTTAAATAAAAAAATTTTTTAAAAAATTTTTTATGAAGTTTTATGTGAAAGCATCAATATAAGTTGTGTGTTAAAAATTCGCACTGGACATCGTGATAATTGACGAATCTAATCAAAGATCTCGAGAATGTCTACATAATATTTTATCTTTATAATAGATGTCAAGACACGTAAATATATCATAAAGGAACATAAGTAAGTTAACTTTATTGAAGTTAAATTTTCGGGAATGAATAAAAAAAAAAATAATAATAAAAAACATAAACCCGATACAATACCACTTTATGCATAATAAGATGGTGAAATCAACATATCGGATAGAACGGATAATTGATCCTCTGTAAATTGTTTCATGTCTTCATGCCAAGAATCCTGATGTGTTCTTCTAAAATCGGCAAATGTTTTTTTGACAGTTGTCTTGGAATTAAAAAAATTACAATTAGATAAATTAGATAGATTAGGTAAATAAACGAGAAATTGAAAACATCAATTAGTAACTTACCTGTATAGGAACCGGATCCGATATACATTCAGCAAGTTTAACCAAGATTTCGGGCATCCACTTTGGAACTTCATATGGGAAAGCATCAACCAAACAAGATAACCCAAGAACAGCCGCATGACGTGTAAGAACGGCTTCTTGAAAGCCTGGGGGCAACGTTGCGCGAGGAGCTTGTACTGTACGTTTGCGTGGCGGAACTTTTGTCTCTAACAGTTTGGTGAACTGATCCTATAAAATAAAGGAGTATTAGCATAAATCATAAAAAATCAAAAATTCCAATTATAATCGAAAACTGACAAATCCTACTTTTAATTTAGATATAGCTTCTCTTTGTGAACAACGAATTAGGCCTGATAACGTGACTGCGGCCAATTGACGGACCTTCATATGATAAAAAGATTTAATTAAATATATAATCGAACTATAAAATTAAGAAAATAATCATGATATTAAACTTAACCTCAATCTGACTATCTTTCAACATCCTGGAGACCACATCCATAACTTTATCTGTCTTATCTTTACTTAACATAAAAAGATGTTTGAAGAAAAATACTTGAAGCACAGGTAAAGCTTTTACTCTAATATGCCAGCTTGAAGATTCTGTCAGTATTTCGACAAATTTGTCAATCATCATTGGTATCATATCAGGAGGATAAGGATAAGAAGCAATGATGTTTAAAACATGAGTAGCCATGGACTGAAGGTCTTGGTCGTCATTAACGTCTTGCATTTGAAACACTGAAGGCAATAAAGGAAGTATCAACGGATATGTTCCAGTAGCTTGCCACATGGTGAGCGCATCATAAAGCCATGCAAGGACTAAGTTCGAGTGGATAAGAAATTAATTGAAAGACGTAATACGTTACAAAAGCAGTTAAAACTAAAACTATAATTACTTGTCTTGCTAGCATTCCCGTATTCTGAAGAACCAGCCGCAGTTGGCTTCTTTTCCGCATGCATGACTACCAGTGATTCTACTAAACCCAACAATGTTTGTTTGAGATTTTCATTTAATTCCGACGCAACAAACCCAACACCTTCACCAATTCGGAGATTACTTTCAAGTATCTCTGTAACGTTAGCGGCAGAAGGATGCCATTGTATCTGTAATACTAAATTAATATTTGCTGCTATAGTATCGCGTACTTGTTTATAGGGATGACGAATATTAGCAAAATATTCTTCAAGTAACGGTTGCGTCCTCGGTAGAACGCGCCATGAAAAAACACTAAGAAGCGTGCTTATAAATAATAATTTCTTTGCTTCAGCAAAAGAAGCATGAGATGTAGGGTCGATACGAAAACTTAAAATTAACTCAACAAGAGGCAATACTCGTCGTGGGTCACGATTACGCTAAATATTGAAATACAAACATTAATATTTTACCATCGAAGATAAATGTAACAAATCGTATAACTCACCAAGACATAATTTAAAAATCTATCCCAATATACAAGAGAATCGGGAGTGATTGAATTAAAAGTTTGCTCTAATAAAGGAATTATCCAGCTCCAAAATGCTTGTAATCTATTAAGTGACCAATGTTTACTTCCCCTTATAATACCCGCCAATATTTCTGTGGCGGCACGTTGCTGATTTTTCTCCGGTGATTTGCATAATTTAAGGACCTCTGGTTTAACAATGTCTAAGAAAGAATCCTCATAGATCTGGAAAATACTTTTAAATAGATTTGCATTACAAGTAGAGAAATTATCTTCTTTATCTCGTGAGGTTTCTTGTGATAGATATGACAATAAAGTAGACCAAAAAAGAGAAGATTCAAAATTTTCAAGCAATTTGTTATAAGCCGCTTCAGAATCTGGATTAATTTTCGGCATAACGCTTGTTTTCGTACGTGGGGAATATGCTTCAAATTTTATAGGCCAAATATACCAACCAACACAAACTTTATCTTGAAGCATACTATTGAGTTAACATCACGTTAATTTTAATTTACTAGAAGAAATAACCAAGAGTTGAAAATAAATAATAAAATTGTTCAGATACAAACATATTCCCTGCATTACTTTCATCAACTGGAGTCATACCGGATATTAAATATTTATCTGTGTATCCTTCTGTTAAAGGACACGGTGTTTCATAAATTATTTTTAGAGGATTTTCTGATTTACCTAAAGATACGAACTCAAGGTCACCCTTAATAAATGTTCTTTGTTTAATATATAATAATATTCTTGTCGTTGTTGAAATAGCTATACGCCTTAAACCAGGAAGTTCTGAAACTAATCCTTTAGCAGAATATTCTGCCATTTCTAAAGTAATTGGTGCCTCCGGTCGTACTAAAAGGTCTAAGAAATTTGAAGCCATTAACTCGAAGCGCCAATGAAGCGTATTTGATTTGACCAGTGTTAAAAGAGTATCAACCTAATAAAATATAAATGAATATTGATATCATTCAAAATTTGTTAACAAACATTGAATGGATAAACTTACAAGACTATAATATTCTCTTTTTTGCATAGCTAATCTATCTTCTGTTTTCTTTCGAATTCTATTATATTTATTCTCGTCCATAGTAATCGAAAGAGTTTCTAATGCTTGTTTTATTGCTACTTCTAAGCCTTTAGTAAAGATTGTCTTTAACGCAGTATTATTATAATTCATAAGATAATCAAAAAATATTCTGCGTATCATTTCTTGTACTGAAGGCTAAATTTGGTAGAGAACGTGTTATTAGAATTATTCTGTATAATAAATGATAAAATTCAAAAATAAAATAGGAAACTCTACAAACTTTATCATCATGTTGAGCCTGACATATATGAGTAATAAATTTAGGCACAAACCGCCAATCTCTCAGGCACGTATACATATATGTACGAGACCCAAGTAAATATAAAGCACCTTTCATTCTCTCAGAGTTCGGTTTGTCTAATAAGTTTTATAAAAAAAATTTAAAACACAAATTATAATAATCGAGCTTCAGAAGATTTAAAATTGACTGTACCAGTTGGCTTTAAAGCATCCAATAAAGTTGGAATGATAAATGGTTTCGCACCAATAAAGCAACGAGACGCATTGGTCAAATGAGATTGGGCTATCCTAAAAAAATTTTTTTTTAGATATGAAAAACTATAATGCGAAATCAAAATTTATAATAAAAATTTTGAATTCATTACTTTCTGATTTCTGAATATGAACTAAGAGACAATTCGACTAAATCCTTTAATAAATTATCATGTACTCGAATTCGAAGGCGACCAAACGCATTTTGTTTCAAACGACATAAATGTTGTTGATATGCTCGTTTTACTACAAATAAACCATAATAATAATATCAATAAAACTAATTTTCACAATGATGAAACAACTATATAAAAAAATGCTTAACTTACCAAGTAAATAACGAGGATATTTCTTATCATGGTGAGAAGTCTTCAACATGTTTTTTGCATATTGATAACCGCGTTTACTTGCATCATACTTGGACTTCTCAACTCCTCGATCTGTGAGATAAATTTTGATCATCTAAAAATAAATATAAAAAAATAAATATATATATATCATACTACATATTTAACATAAAAATAACAAACCTTGAGGAGAATCTTTAAGCTTTCAACATCATCCTCCCGTTGCTTTCGGAAAAAATTTACAAGTTTATGAAGAAATTCTCCCAATTCTTTTCGCAATTGTCGTGCAATTTGTCTTCGTTTATCGTTGAGATTTAAGAAGCAATATCCAGCAGGTATAGATATTGTTGGTTTTACGGCCTCGGTTTCTTCATCTCTAGAATGTCAAATTTTGTTATTTTTGTCCTAAGTTCTGAACTGTTAATATAAGCTTCATTACTTGAATTCCGAGGCATCATCGTCACCGTCGTCTTCTACTAAAGTAGTCATTCCGCTAAGGCAATTTCTGACCACGCTGAACCAACGGCAAAATTCGTGAGTTATTCCACGGTTGCTTAACACCTTTCCATCCTCATCAGTTCCATTTGCCATTAAATCCTCGATTCGTTTAAGAGTAGGTTTTAAGAAAGTATCTATTATTTCCATTGCAAAATCGAGTTCAGGGTCTGTTGGTACATGCCAATCAATATTAATATTTTCGTGACAGCCTGGTTCAACCCAATATTTATGATGGTTTTTCATATATTCTAAAAAATAAAAAAAAATAAATATTTAGTTTGATATTATTTAAGATTAGGATTAATGTGTTTTACTCACCGTCAGAATTCCATCGTTCCAGATCAACGTTTCGGCATTCTAAAGGATATATTTGCGTCAGGGCAACTAACATCATTCGAATAAATTTTCCAGTCCACATGTATCCTTTCCTTGAACGACATTTTTGCACCATTTCTTTTCCTAACTCTATCATTTCTTTTTTGTACTTCAATAGATCAGATCCACTTGACATGGCCACATGATACAGAATACACTGATACCAATGTAACGTTGTGTCGGATTGGATGTGATGTGTTGATGAAGTAGTTGGTGTAGATGATGCACCGTGTTGAAGTTCTGTAAGAATCTTTGAATAACAGAGTGGAATAAAAAGTGAAAGTGCCTTGCTTCGATTTGGACTAGTTAGGGTGGAACATAGATAACCTATATATAAAATATCAATTCTTTGTTAACAATTTTCAAATTTTTATCTAGATCAAATAAATATAAATATTATTACCCATTGGTTTTGTGGCATTCTGAAGTATAGTCGTGGACGCGAAATCTATAACCATTTTCAATGCCATATCCTGAAGTTGCTCAGACATTTGAATTCCAACTATTTCACAAGCATGCTAAAAATAAAAGTAATTCAATATATAATAAATATATTATTTGAATAAAGATATGCGGTGTATTTTACCAATAATACAGTAACCAATCCTGTTTCCATATTATGTATATTTAATTTTCCGCGCTCTTGTTGTGGGAGATACTCAAACTAATTGAGACATTAAAAATAAGTAAAGGAGCAATAAAATAACGCTTGATATCGTTAGTCATTAACACGTAACAAAGGATACAATAGTAAAGACGCGTCTTAAAAACTTTGCAAGCCACTCTTCAAATGCCGCGGTACTAGATTTACATAAAGCATCTTCCTCCTGTTCATCAATTTCCATATGATCTTCTCTTTCATCAATATCCATACCAGTCCACCTAAATCCGGACTCAGTGGAATTGCCTTCAGTCAAATCTCTTAAAGGGACTCCCATGATTGCATGAGTCAAAAATATTAAAGATGAAATTGTCTTTATCGGATCGTTCATATCAATACCGGGGATTGTTAAATGAAGAAGATGTACCAAATGTTTTCCTCCAGCCGGATAATGAAATCGAGAAAATAATGGAATAGCCAAAAGTGAAAGTGCAGAGATTGAAGAAGTTGTCCTATGTGTCTAAAATTACAATTAAATTAAGATATTCATATTATGAAAATTTAAAAGATTTGAGAAATCAAACCTCAGTTAAGGTTTCAAGAGAAGGATAAACCCGTTCTAGTAATCCAGGGAAAATCAATGTAGGCTCTAACCCTGTAAAAGAATTCGAGAATTATGGATTATATTTACAATTTATTGGATAACCTTCAAACATATCATTTTAACAATAAGAAGGATACACGCTAAATATTTCAAAGCCGCCTGGCTTGAACCGACAGACATGGGATCCTTGCCAAACATTGACAAAAACGTAACACTTCTAAGAGTGAGAACAAACTGGCGTCTAAGTTCTGGGGTCAACCGACGTGATTCGGGAGTTTTACATTCCGATTTGTTTTCTGAGAAATTACGATTCAATTAATAAATCAAATGATTCGATCTTTAAAATAATATACAATTTACTATTGGTAAGAATATTGTAATAATTCACCATCTGTCCATCGTTTTAAGAATTCCCAACCAAGATACTGCAAAAATCTAACTATCGAAAAAGTCCATCTACCAAAATTACTTGGATGATAAAAAGTCTCCGTAGCTTGAATCATATTGGACAAGTGTGTGAGAGTAGTTTCATCTTTTGATGAAACAGGCGATGAAAATATTGTAAAAACAATAAATCGAGCCAACATCTTAAACTTATCCTAAAATGATATTAATAGAAGATTTGAAATTATTTGCCCTAATAAGAATTAATAATAATGTTGACTTACAACTTTTTTCCTCAGCATCATAGCACTTCCAGCTTTTTGATCTACTCTTGAGGACAATCCAAATGATCCACCACTTCTTACAGAATTATTATTACCATTGTTTGAACTTCCAACAGGCAAATCCATCATTTTATGACCACTTGCAAATACAGTCTTGACTTGAGACTGTGTGAAAATTCCAATATTTCTAAGTTTAACGTCTTCAACTACAACATTTTCCTCAGCGACACGAGCTACAAGATCAATAAATTCTGTTTGAAACAGCAAAGATCCTGGGATAAGATACCAAAATGAAAATATTGTTGGAAGCCATATTGCAGGTGAATACTCGGGTGATTTTGAAGGTCCGATTGGAAGGAATCGAACTAAAAATGCTTGTACGGTAAAAGCATCTCCAACATTATTGGCGTGAAAAAGTGGAAGCACCCTAGCAAGGATATCTTTCGTAGCTTCAGGAGGAAAAAATCTATGAAAGTGATGTAACCAATAATGTTTTAAATTCTTGACCTAACCATTTTTACGGATAAAAATTTTTTTACCTCTGAGCATGTTCTACTAAGCGAACTACGGCTGAGATCTGTTTACTGAAAAATAATAAAAAAAAAACTTAAGGAAAAATATGTCTAATGAAAATTTAGACAAGAATCTAACAATTATACATTTAATGGATACGATTCACTTATTAAAGTTTTTTGACGACCCTTCGGAAAGTATATCTTATGAATCATATCATATAACGGTTCCCAAGGCAATGTCAGATCCTCTGGTCCGATTTTTTCTTTTTTTCTTTAATAATGCAAAAAATTTTCTTTGTTAAAAAATATATATATATATATATATACACATAAATAAAATAACAAATTGGCCTACTTGAGCAATCGTACGCAGGTATTGGAAAAAACTTCAGCATGTGAAGTATCAATTCCCGGCGTGATTACAAGTTCAAAAAGAACGCGAGCTATTTGAGCGCGAGTTTGACGAGATAAAGGGTGTTGTAGGTCAAGATAACTAACAAATAAAAAAAATAATAAAAATAATTTAGCCATTGTTTTATTTATTCGTTTAAATTCTCTGAAAAATTACACATTCTGCTCAGAATGCTTACCCATTGAGTTGTTTTACCCAATGATTACAACCCGGGCCCCAATCTTGAGCTTTTGCAGAAGAACATAAATTTTCAACTATATCGTTTAATAGCCTCTCAGCTTCTCCTTCAAAAGAGGAGGAATAAGGAAGATTTTGCGAGAAAGTAGACATTTGTTATAGCATTGAAATTTAGTAAAATAAAATAAATGAATGATCTGGATCTAGGTACGTAATGCCCTACGTTCTTCGGAAAACGATCGGCATATGAGCCACAATCTTGTTTAATTTAAATTTATATCTGAAATTATGTGGCGCATATTTGCGGTTGTCAACATTTGACGTCAAAAATTTTTTGTTCTTTAAACACAAAAAGTCATGGTTAATATGATTTTGCAGATTAGTATATTTTACGATTTAAACATTTTGGTAAAATTGTTTCTTTTTGTCATAATAAATTAATCTATATACGTTGATGAAATTTTTGATATTTGTTAATTAAATGTAATAAATATAATTAAAAGAAAGTATACAACAATAATTATAATATAATTCATATATATCTTATAGCTTATTTGTGTTAGACTAAAGCCTGTTTTTATATCACCTTCTATCAGCATTAATTATATAAGTTCTTTTGTATAAGTTTGGGATTTCTTTATATATTAATTTTATTACTTTTGCAATATTGCTTATAAAATAAAATTTATTTTTTTTAATAGTTTTGTTTTTTCTTTACTATTACAAGGCATCTATATATTGTATTCATTATATTATAATAATTATTTATAACTATATATATGCCTAAAATATTTTAATATAGTAGTAATTATTATTATATATAATAATAAGTATTGTTATATTTTTAAATAATATAAAAAAAGTAGAATAAATATAAAATAGAAGGTAATAATTATAATATTTTATTTATAGAATAATTTAAATTATATATATACATATATTTATAACTATTAAGAAGATTTAATAAACTTAATTAAATTCTTTTAAAATTTCTTTTAAGTTTTATTATATAAAGCTTTAATAATAATTTATTTAAATTCTTATATTAAAATTTTTTAAAAAATCATATTTTTCTTAAATTATTTCTAATATAAATAATTTTTAAATTCTTTATTAAATTAAAATTATCACTTTTTAATTAATTAATAATTATATTTTTTTATGATAAATTAAAAATAATATATATATTTTTTACCTTTTTAATTAATTAACTTTAGAAAATATTTATTAGTTTTATTTATAAATATAAATATATTAATTCTAATTAAAGTAATCTTTTATATAGATTAATCTATTATTAATAATACAATCGTCTCCTTTATAATCACACCCCTCAAAACTAAAAATAATAAGTGTGATTATAATAAAAAGTTACTATACAGGAGGATTTTTATATATTGTTACTAAGTATTAGTTCTGGAAGAGGATGATCATAAAAATACTGTGGTTTTTTATATAGTATTAATATGTATTAGTTCTTATGAAATATGTGCTTATAATGAGAGATTTATATAATGTGATTATACAGAAAGTGACTATAGAAAGTGATGACTGTACTTATTTTTTTTTATTATAATCAATTATATTTATTATTATTATACTTTATATAAATTAAAAATATAAAATAAATATTAAAAGTAAAAATATCATCATATAAAATTAAATTTAATTCTGATTAAAATAAATTAAAATAAAAATTTATATTAAAGTTTTATTACTTATTAAACTAATTTTTTTATATTTTAATATATTATATTACTAACTTATTTACTTTTAAATAAATTTTATATATTTATTTATAAGATTTTTATATAATAATATATTAATAAAAAGATTAAGTTAAAAAAATAAATTATAATTATAGTTAAATATTTTAAAACATTTTTTACTTTTATTTTATTTATATTAAATTAAATTTTATCTTAAATTTTATTTAATCTTATAACTTATTATAATATTTATATTAATTATTACCTAAACTTTTTTTTTATGAAAATAATAAATATATATTTTAGTAATAAACTTTTTATACTTCATATAAATATATAATTAAAAAAAAACTATTGATTTATTATTATAAATTGAGAAAATTACAATATAACATATTATAAATTTTAAGATTTAATATTATAATAATTTAGAATAGTTATAATAAATATAATATCATAATTATTTTTATAATTGATTTATAATAATATATTTATTTAAATATATAATTTTTAATACTGTCTCGATATACCGATATACAGTATTAAAAAATTCATTATGACATTTTTTCAAGATTTTCATATAAATCCGAACACATCGTTATATCATATCAATATCAAATATTTTTTTTTTTTTTAAATGAATAATACTTTTTTGTTTATATATTGATATTATAATTATCACCACAGTATAAGTTGACTTGATTAATTATTTATTTCATTTTCTCGTCTTATAGAAATAAAATTTTTTATATAACTAATCATATGATTGGATTTATAATAACTTGATAATGTATAATATACGAAAACTTTTATAAATAAAAATCATAACCTTTATTTATAATATTTATATTAACATGCATAATATTCAAGTATATGAAGATAAAAAAAAAAAAGAAAAGAAAAGACAGCTGTAATTCATTGTATTTGCATAGCTTGGCAAAGGTTTATTATTATACGCTACCTAATTTTCATAATAATCCTCTCCAATTTCATCATCTTCCCTATTAAACATGTTTGTGTTTTTAACGAGGGCTTCATCAACAGCATTTAGGAATTCTTGGATGCCAATAATGTATTCACTTCCAAGCCTAGGGGGTGAATTGACAGGTGACATACAAGGCGATGGAGAGCAACTTATACTATTCACCGAGACTCTACTTGGTATCAGAATAGGACTACCATCATTACTTGATAAATATGACAAAATTTCATAACCAAATGAAGAAGATAAATCTGTTGTTGTTTCTGCAAGTTCGTTATCAGAGTAATAATTATTTGGATCGGGTAATTGCATATCGTCATTTTCATCTGTTAGAGGAGATATCGCGATACTTTCATCAAAAACAAATTCCTCAAGCTCGAAATGTGGACTATTCGGATCAATACTCAAACTTTGTAACAAATTTTCAATCTCAATTTTTCGCATACCACGCGGGAAATTTATACGCAATTCACACCCATTAATCTCAACATCAAAGTCATCATGTTGCAGCAATGCTCCTAATATGGAAATAACTTTCATCATGTGTTCATGTTGCATTTCTGCAGTTTCTTGAAGATGTCGAACTAATGAATTTAATTGCAAACCGGTTTTTTGAGAAACGGAATTATTCTTATTTTGAAGAAGGTAAGATATAGTGGAATTAATACTATTTGTACTATTTGTACAATTAGACATTGAAGTTGAGTTATCATTATTCCAGCAAATAGATGAACTAAGCATAATAGACATATAAACTTGAACTTTTTCACTGTCATTGACAAGGACTTCGGGTGTATTTTCAACAGCTTTGCTCGTTTCTGATAGATTTTTTATATTTGATCTGCGAACAATCCTTTTGTTTGTATTCTCTTCGATGATATTAGAATTTTTAACTATATCAGGAATACCTTTGTTATTACTTAAGATAAAATATTTGCGTCCCATTGCTTTTTCCTTTTTCTTGGCTGTTCGTTTATTAATATCACCCGATTCTTTGTTATTTTGGTTTAAAGATTCTTGCTTCTGGAACCATAATGAACCAGATTTACAAGAAAAAGTGGTAAATGGTTTTAAACTCAACTGAGCAAGAACTGCACTACCAGAGCCAGTACCATTATTCAACATAGGTTGAATAGTAGAGAAATTTCTAACCCCTCGACCAAATATATTACTAGTTCCAGCAGGTTGTAGAAAAGCGTGTTGAGAAATTATTCCAAACCCTTGTGGTTTACGGAAATATTGAGGAGTTCGTGAAAAAACCACAGGTTTTGGCGCTGGTTGGAGGGAAAATGCTTTAAGAATTGAAAAGTTTTCAAAAAGAAAATTAAAAAGTTTGGTTTGAGCTATTGATTTATTTGAATTTGCAAAGTTGTTAACTGGTTTTTGCACTTGTTGCTTATTAAAGCAAGTAAATTGTAAAGCTCCACCCTTGTGTGTTGTATTGGACTTTAGTCCTCCTTTAGTCTCCAAAGTCGTCAAAAGACGCTCCAGAGGCTCGGCCAAAGCCTTTAACTTCTTCCACATTGCGTTCGTATATATTTAGCGAACGAAATGAGAAACTGTTATAAATGTTAAGTCCGAACCGGTCTTTATTTAAATGATCATCCAACGTGTCTATAGATAGTATAAATTTCGGACCGAACTTTAAAAACTGCGGTCATATTATATAATAAAAAAATACTTGTGTAACGGTGACGTTAGAATCTTATATACAGGGCCTAAAATAGAAATCAAAGTTTACCGGCCAAAAGTCCGGAAAGAAAATATTTTACCGGCTGAGGATCCGGAAAAAAATTATTTTACCAGATCTTTCTGGAATATTATAAAATTAACTGTTATCAAAAAAATTAATAATCATTTATCAAATTGATAAATTATATGTGCCGATGTACAGTACAAAAAAATTTGCCGGATGAAAATCCGTTTATTTTAAAAATTTTCCGGAAAAAATCTGGAACACAAAATTTTTTATCGGGGATTCTGGGATTCTTTAAAATTCCGGATCTTGCCGGAATTTACAGAACTATTTTAAAGCCCTGCTTATATAATAGGGGGGAACAGCCATTTTACTTTTATATGCCAAATATGATTTTAGGTCAAAATATAACATTAATTCAATTTTTATTTTTTCCAGCCATTTCCCCCTTTTCTATTACAAGGTCCCATCTCCCAGTAAAAATTCAAAGTTCGAGACTATACAAGTTTCCTTTTTGGAATTTGTGTAAAGTCACGTGATTGCACGTTACAAATTAAATTATAATACCAAAATTAGCCAAAAAAAATCAATTTTTTACATGTTAAATATGATTTTTTAGGTTAAAATATATTCAGATTTAGTATTAGATGTTTCCTTTCTTTTCTATTGCAAAGGTTTTATATTATTAAACAAATTTTACATCATTATCTAATTCTAAATTTTTTTTATACAATTTGTGATTTTTATTTTTATGATATTATGATAATTTTATAATTTACAATTAATAAAAAAATATATTTAATTACCTTGATTAAAATAAATTATTATTTAAAAAATTTAAAGTTTCTGGATAAAATCTAAAGGTTTTGTAAGTTGTCTAAAATGGTAAAAGTAAAATTATACTAAAACCTATTAAAATTCTGAAAAAGATAAATTTTATCAAAACTTATAAAATAGCAAATTATATTAAATTCTTAGTAAAAAAAAAAAAAAAAAATAGTGAATCTAAAAGTTTAAACTTTAAGAAAAATATTGCAAAAAAAAATCTATATTTAAATATACAACTTAATATAAGTAATCAATATAATTTAAACTATTTGAAAAAAATTTAATAAATATATTGCTAAATTATTTCAAATTATTTTCTTTTTACAATAAATATCTATTTATATAACAAATTATTAAAAGATTTTTAAACTCATTAATAATTAAATATTAATTAATATTAAGTTATTAAATATTATTTTTTAAATATATGTATTTAAAATCAAAATGTAAATTACATAAAATAAAAATAAGTTAAATAATTTAAAATATATAATTCAAATTTTTTTTTGTATTATTTGAAATTCTACTTAAAAATAGAATAAAAATCTAAAAAATTTAAATAAAAGCATATTATAAAATTCTTAAATTCTATATTAAAATAAATAATAATCTAATTAGATTTAAATAAATTATAAATTTTGTTAATTTTATTTTAACAAATAAAAACTGATTTTTTTTATTAAAAAAAATTTAAATTTTAAACAAATACTTTAATATAAGTTAAAATAAAATTTGTATAGATTATTACTTCAAGTATTTTGCAAGCAAATTTGCCTATAATTTTATTTAATAATTAAAATTATTTATAATAATTTTAAATATTTTTTAAAATAATTTATTTAAAAATTAATATTTTTATAATAAATTTATAATATTTTCTAAGTAAAAATTCAAAAAAAATGTAATTAATTAGTAATATTTTAAAGATAAATATATGATAAATTATTATAAAAAAAAGTTAAATTTTTAAATTTATATATCTTGTTATTTATTGATTACAGAAATATGAAAAATATAATTATTTAATAGAACTTAATGAGATAATATAACAAACTAAATTTTATTTTCTTGTAATTTTTAAATAAAAAGTTATTTAAAAAATTAAAAAAATTGAAAATTAATATATATTAATAATTATTAATTTTAAAAATTTTAAATATTATAATTAGATAAATCTAATCAAATAAATTTTATTTCATTTTTTTATAATTATTAAATATTATAATTTTTTTACAATGTTTTATAACTAATTTATACTTACACTTAAGGAATAATAATTTTAAATTAATATTTTATAAAATTAAATAGAAAGTATTTATTATTTCATTTTTTGATTACCTATATTTAATTTTATAAAAATCTTATTAATATAAAATATTATATATATTTAAATATAAAAAAATATTTTAAACTAATTATTCTATTACATTTATTTAATAATAGAACTTTATATAATGATGTAATTTATTTATATAGAAGTGATAAAATGTATTAATTATTTTTTTTAAAATACTAATAATTAACTTTATTTAATTTTTTTTTTATCTAATCAAAAAACAAATTAATATTTTATTAAATCATTATTTATTATAAAAATAATTTAAATTTAATATAATATTTTATTTTTTTTTTTTTAACGTGCGGTAGCTTTGTATAATCTTTATTAAGAGTAAAGTAAAAATACAAATTACAAATGAGAGAGTACAAAAATTTCTATCTAGTAATTACTAAATTAAAACTAACCTTGCACCGTTCTAGACTAACCTACCCTAAACTAATTTAAAATAGGTTCAACCATCCAGTATTGGGAGCCTGGTTACTACTGATCCAAAAATTTGACCAATGCGAACCAAAAAGGAATGATTTATGAAAATAGGGAGGAATAATAAAGGTGTGAGGGGTGGGGTCAGGAAAGCCAGTTGATACAGTAAACTACAGATAAGTGACTTATTATTTACTATTTAATGTAGTTTCTTTGTAAGCAAGAACGAAACTATGCCTTTTATGAGGTCAATGAAATTAAAAGAGAAGTGTGTAGGATCAAGATTCTAAATATCCATTGAAATGATGCTTGCTATGTCAAATTGATGATTGAGTTCAGATAAATGCTGAAAGAGGAAGGCGATGGTATCTAATAAAATGTTGTTGAGTTGTTGTAATGTATGTTGGCAAAGCCAAATATGATCAAAATTCTCCAAACTAGTAAGGCATTTAGGGCAGGACCATGAAGAATCATATAAATCAGGGTGACACTTTTTGAGTACTTCAAGTGTAGGGAGGAGTTCAAGCAGAAGTTTAATTTTAAATTTTCGTATAGAGGAAGCCTTATAGAATGTGATAGAGTCACTTTCATTATTATTAAACACGAAGGCAGTAGTAGTCCAGTCTACCTCTAAAGTTGAGTATTTTTTAAAATGTGAAAGTAGTTGAATGTTGTGAAAGTTAATGGTGTTGAAGAGGTCTTTGGTAAAATATTGTGAAGGCGTCAAAATAATTTGATTGTTATAATGGACCGTATATTCAAAACCTAATTTTGTCTGTACAAGAGTTGTAGGCGGACTTATTTCTTTGGTGAGTTAATTAACTTCATTATTATAGTAGTCATCAGCATGAGCTTTGACTTTATAGAATGTGATATCTATATTTTTCGTTTTGAGCTAGCGGAAGAGTGAATACCAAATAGGATAATTTGAAATATTAAAAATAGGATTATAAGTAGGAGCGCATGTTAGAAAGTAATTCATTTTTGAATAAGAGGCTATGGTGACTAATGAATCTGTGAAAATGTTAATATTGGAATTAGGAGTGAAACATAAACTGCGACTAGAACCGCTACTAATTCAGCTAGAGAGGAAGATGGTTGGGAAGGGTAATAAAAGCATTGAAGAAATGAAGAGGTTCTGATAGATTGACTTATAACCAGACAACCCTCATACGAGATGAAGAACTACCTAAATTAGAGAGAGAACCGTCAGTGTAAAACGAAAGGTTAGTTGATTGTGAAAATAAAAATGATAGACTATCTAGTTGAGTAGCGATATCAGAGGTAAAAATATTCGACGAAGTAACATTAATGGAAGGTGTAGAAGGTTCAATATTAAAAGCGAGATCTGAGTGAATTTTAAAATTAAAAAGAGCCATTTCAAAGATCATATATGGGGAAAGGGAACAAAGATAACCAAGGTTATGCATGGATAATACATGTAAAAATGAATATAAGGGTAGCGCTAATTTAATGAAGTACAAAGAGTTTCTATTTCTCATATTAGAAGGAATGAAAGTGGTGTTGTCATTAATAGAACAGCTATTACACGCGATGAGAACAGATTTTCAAGAAGTTTCTACTTGAAAATAAAGTGTTGTATATATAAAATGTTTGAGTCTATCTTAAGCACTTTGTCAACTATTGATGAATTAGAAGGCAGGTGCCACCTTACTGTAAAGTGGGTCGTACTTTTAATATGAATTGGGGGTCTAGTATGAATAATGTTATTATGAGAATGTTAGTATTGTGATGAGATGTTTCTATTAGAATTGTTGTGCAGCACTAGCTTCTGAAGGCCAATGAACCATGTTGGTGGTATTGGAAGAATAAGTGTGGCTGTTGAAAATTTGAGATCAGGTAAGGTGAAGAGAGCTAATTCATCTGAAGTAGTTATCTGATCAATAAACATCAGGTTTTTCTTTTTTAGTTTGTCAGCATATTTTCTAAAGGATGCAAGGCTATATATATCAATCAGGGGTGTATGACCTCTAATTATAGCGTTATCATTTGTTTGACTGTTAGTAACTGTAATATTAAGTGATTTCAAGTTTGATAATAATGCAGACCACCAGTCTTTGAATTTGTAAGAGGCATCATAGGGCTATTGAGCAAGTGGAAATCGAACTAGCCATTCATTAATTTGGAGTTAACAACTACGAATTAATGCAGTAATTCCTAAGAGACCTTTGTTATTGATCATTTTTGTAAAGTTAGCAATTTTCGCTTAGAGTTGAG